TTGTCGCTTAGACTGTGCTTAGTCTGGGTAATTTTTGCAATTTTCAGCTCAAAAAAATTACATTTCTATAATTTTGCATAAAATCCCAAAATTACATTTCTATAATTAGCAAAAAATTGGAAAAGTACTCCAGTAAAGTCACATTCTAAACGCACTTGCAAAAATATTTACACCAGGTTTTAACTTAGATTGTGCTCAGTGGGAATTTTTTTCAATTTTTAACACATTTGTGTATCTAAAGTGAAAATTAATGCCCTAATCATTTTCGATATACAAAAAAAAATTTCTTTGAAAATTAATTAAAAAAAATTGTGAATAATTTTATGAATAACTCAAATCGGTTGAACCGTGATTTCGCACATACACACACACACATTAATTTTGTCTAAGGTATGCCTAAATGTTCAGAAACCGTTGAAACGTAAAGATATGCAAAAATATTCATGGAGGATTACGTTTTCGCCTTTGTCAAAAAAACTGTAACTTTAAGGCTAAAATGTACTCATTTTCTTTTTGTTCCCACAATTAATAATAATTAATTACTTTAATATGATATGACTACTTCGAGATTACTGAAGCGTGAGACATAATTTCAGTCGAGAAATTGTCTTAATTCTTGGGGAAAGAAATAATGGAGAATTATTCTTTGTTACATTTACTTTACATACATTCATTGACTGTTTGTTTTTTTGACTATTTCGCTGGCTATACAGTCTCATTTTTTGAGCAGCTATTTTAATAACTTGAAAGATTTACTACGGGATGTGACATAAATTACATTATATTTTATTTCACGTTTCTATAATTTATTAATCTAGAATTAAAATTAATATCCAAAAAATTTCAATATTCAAAAAAAATATTTTCAGAAAAATATAGAAACTTTGAACTAAAAACATGCCTTTTCCAAATAGTTTCGATGAAAGTAAAAATTAATAACCAAAAGAGTCATTTTCTCCTTACCCGGTGTGGTGGACGTCCTCGGTGTCTTGGGGGTCCCCGGAACCTCCAGATCGTTGACGGGGCTCTCGTACGAGACCATCTTGATGGCGGGCAAGGCGGGCAATCCGGGACGTTTGCAGTCGCCGTTCCTCTGAGACATCTTTGTTGTGGCGGTGGTTGCCATTATTGGTGGCGGCGGTGGTGGTGCTCGTGCTGTTGTTCTGGCAGGCTGGGGATTCCATTTTGGATTACTGAAAAGGGAAATAGAAATAGAAATATGAAATATAATAATTAGTAAAGAAAGATCCATCATCAATAGCTCAGAAAACAAATAGAGTGATAATTTTGAAACAATTAATTGAATTTTGTCCACCGTTGAAGTAAAACTTTTTTGCTATTGTACAAGACGACTATCAAGTCAAAAATAAAGTCTTCATTTAAGAATTTAAAATCAGTAGTGGTAATATGTTAACACTACTGATAATACATTCAATGTCAACCACTTTACTAATATTTTCAAACAATAAATTAATTACGTTAATATGATATGATTTTTTCCAGATTACCCAAACGAGAGATATAAATTCAGTCGACAAATTGTCTAAATTTCTTCGAAAAGAAATATTGGAAAATTATTCTTTGTTAAATTTATTTTACATACATTCATTGACTGCTTGTTTTTTTCTCTATTTTGCTGGCGATACAGTCTCGCCTGTCTTGCATATAAAAATATTTTCCATTCTAATAATCTCAAAGATTTAGAGTAATCACGAAAATACAAATTACTTCAATAAACTTACGTTTCGTACAAGGCACAATTTCCGAACAATATGCTTCACGCTTTCGGTGACACGACGACCAATCACAATCTACCCGTATAGAAATGATATCATCGAGAGCGAATGATGAACAGTTCGGGCGTAACGGACTTCCGTTGCATTTTCACAGATTTACTTCCTAGCCGCGATTAAAGAAGTTCTACTTCAAAGGTATTTTTCTGTTTTTAGTTTTGTTTGGTGCATTCAGTTGTGAGTTACAGGGTGTTACAAAATGGAAGTGGACAAAGAGAAAATTGGGTACATTTTACAGTTTTTTTGGGCAAAGACGAAAAATCGACCATAAAACAATTTTAAACCAATAAACCAAAAATAATGGATTTCTTTTTCTGCAACATAATATTTCATTTTATATTTACAAATGACAATGCTATTTTAAAGTAGAGGGCAAAAGATGTGTAACTAGTCTATATTGTCAATTTTCAAACAATTTTTTTTTATTTTGTTGTTTAGTTTACGGATATCGAATATTTTATTTTATATTTATATTTGGCAATGCTATTTTAAAGTAGAGAGCAAAAGATGTGTAACTAGTCTATATTGTTAATTTTCAAACAAAAATATTTTTTTTGGTTTTGAGCACTGTTGTTTAGTTTACGGATACCTAATATTTTATTTTATATTTATATTTGACAATGCTATATTAAAGTAGAGGGCAAAAGATGTGTAACTAGTCTATATTGGCAATTTTCAAACATTTTTTTTTCATTTTGAGCACTGTTGTTTAGTTTACGGATATCACATATTTTATTTTATATTTATATTTGACAACGCTGTTTTAAAGTAGAGGGCAAACGATGTGTAACTAGTGTATATTGTTAATTTTCAAACTAAAAAAAAAGCTTTTGAGCACTGTTGTTTAATTTGTCGATATCTAATATTTTATTTTATATTTATATTTGGCAATGCTATTTTAAAGTAGAGGGCAAAAGATGTGTAACTAGCCTATATTGACAAAAAATCACAAACTATCACGCGGGGGGAGGAAGAGGTATAGTAAGATATCACGCGTATTTATTTTTTACCTGATTTTTTTTTAAAAAAGTCCAAACATTTTCAAAAAAAATCCAAAATGTTACAATTTTTTCTCGTAACTGAAAATACACGTAATCTTTGGAGGGGAAAAAGGAGGGCTTTACAAAAAATCACAAAATATCTCGTGTAGAAGGGAAGACATCACGTATATTTATTTTTTACCTGAATTAAATTTTTTTTTAAAAATCCAATTTTTTCTCGTAACTAAAAATGCACGTGATCTTTCGAAGGGAAGGGGGGGGGTTAATTTACAACAAATCAAGAAATATCACGTGGACAAGGAAAAAGATATCACGTATATTTATTTTATACCTGATTTAAATAAAAATCAAAAATTTACAATTTTTTCTCGTAACTAAAAATGCACGTGATGTTTGGCGTGGAAGGAAGGGCGGAGGGGTAATTTTGAATATCACCAAGGGGAGGGGAGTACAAAAAACCTTAAAAAATCGAACCCGTGACTAATGGACGCCCCTTAAGTGAAATTAATGTAGTCGGCTTGATTTTCACAGTATAATATTTACCAAGTCTAAGTATTATCGAGTATAAGTATAATAGGAACCAAATGTTATTTGAATATTTCTAATCGGTTGATCAGCGCTCCCGA